AGAGTGAAAGAACAGACTTCACATCTTGACCCAAAGCCATGAAGCAGAGTTCCAGCACTGGAACCTTTGAAACCTTAAAATCAGCCTTCAGTGTCACACCGACTCCAAGAAGGCCACGTACCCTAATCCTTCCACCAAAGTTGCACCAACTGGAGACCATGAATTCTAACTTATGAGCCTGTGGTGGATAATTCTCATTCAAATCACCATAGTCAATTAGGACCAAATAAGCAATTTAAATAGGCCTATAACCTCTAATGAAAGAGAGGCAGTCATCAAAAGTCTCCCAACCAAAACCAGCCCTGGACCAGATGGTTTCAGTGCAGAATTCTACCAGAAATTCAAAGAACAGCTAATACCAATACCAATTCACTCTCATGTGAATGGCAGCAGTAAGTAGCATTTCAATTTAAGTTTTGGTGAAGGCTAGGGAAATCTTAATTTCAGTCTCTGTGTAGGGCTATTGAGGTGAAACCTCCCCATCCTGTGTTTTAACAGAGTCTACATTTTAAATGGACACTTTATGATTTACATAAAATAATAACCAAAATATCCAGTTTTCCTAAAAATATCTCTTGTTATCTAACTTCTGATTAAATAAAAAGGGGACTGTGAGGATTGTCTACACTAAGATGATGGAGATGTTAGAATCATTGGGCAAACTATAAACCGACCTTGTAATGAAAACTGTCTCAAAAAATCAAATTTAAGAGGTAGGAAAACAGAAAGTCATAGTAACAAGTGCCAAGTCTAAATAAGGAAACAAAATGTATAAAGAAAATCAAATCAAATTTTCACAACCCCAAAATATGGTATGTAAGAGTGCTTCCTTTGCAAGCCTGAGGATGAGCTTCTAGCATGAAAGCTGGGTGTGGCTGTATGCCTGTAACCCCATCACTGCTTAGCGTAGAGAAAGGTAGATCACTGGGAATACTGACTGGCAGCCAGCTCTAGGTTCAGTGAGGGCTCTTACCTCAAGAAAAAAAGACTAAACATAATAGAGCACTCTACATCCTCCTTTGGCCTCCTTGCATACTGGGGCATACACCATTGTATGCCATTGTTTTATACTTCTCATTGTTATTACATGCATGTTTTTCTTGAGGTAAGGGCCCTCACTAAACCTAGAGCATGCACATATGCACAACACACACACACACACACACAGAGAGAGATAAATATATTAAAGTTTAAAAGAGAATAAATGCATGTAATAACAATGAGAAGAATAAAACAGAGCAGTGGTGAATCTATATCACCAACTGAAAAGTATATGGCAAATATGTAAGAATTAAAGCCATTTAGTTTGATCAATGTCTAAACCAAAAGTAGCCTTGTAAACTGGGTAATAAAAGGATGCTGTGGTTCAGAAACAAGATATGAAAGACACTAGCTATAAAAGTACCCAGACAGAGGCTGGAGAAATGGCTCAGTGCTTGAGTGTGTATGTCTCTTGTAGAGGACCCAAGTTTAGTTCCCAGTGCCTATACTGATTGTGATAGATCTTTCAACATCCTGTAACTCTGGCTCCAGGACATACTATGCTGTCTTTTAATCTCTTTGGTTACCCCGACACATGTTCCCACACTACTCCACAGCATCCACATTAATAAAAGTCTATATATAATTCAACATATAGTGATAGAAAGTGGCCCAAACAGGGTAAACTACCAGAAGCTCCTACATTCAAAGACTTGAGAAAAACCTTAACAGGAAAATGCCAAAGAATCACAAGCCATGCAACATCACACTCAAACACTTAACATCAAAGACAGACTTTGATATAATCCAGAGAGAAAATACATAGCACCCTCTCTGGGAAAAAAAAAAAAAAAGGAACCTGGTTGCTGTTGTCACTGAAAGAAGAGGGAAGAGAGTTAACATTTCCATGTGCTATAAAAAAGAGCAGACAATCAATCATAATAGTCCCAGCTGAAAAAAAAAGATATGAGAATTTGGCATAGTTACATATATGCTAAAAAGCACAGCTAAAAGAACGTATCCAAATAGGAAGGGCATAAAAAGAGATTTAAGGGAATAAAGAAGTAAAGGACATAACATATTTTAAAAATAAATCTTAGATTTATGTAAAGCAATGCAGTCTTTATATATATATATTAAACTATATTAGAATGATTTTTGTATTGTTTTTAACAGTTTAGAAAGTGTAATTTTTAAGGTTGTAAAACTCCGCTCGAAATGGGTCAGTGTGACAAATGTGCTCAGTGATGAGTCGTGTCTAACAGTCAGTGTAGCTCTCACAGACACTGCCTCAGTGGAGGAGTACATTGTACTGTTTTGCAACCCTGGTGCTTGCTATGGTGTTTAATGCACAGAAAGTTGAGTCCTCACACCACCAACGGGGAAAAGCAAAACAACAGGAACCACGGGCAGAGCTGAAGCTTGTGGTGCGGGGGTTCCATGCCCATTTATGACTCCTGTTATTTTTTGTTCCCCCCTCCTTCCTTGTGGCTAATAGTACCCCCTCTTTGCTTTCTCTCTAAATGTAAAGTTTACAAAATGAACAAACCCAGTAAGCATCTGGTCTCTTAAATTTTTTAAATTGTGTTGGAAAATTAAAGCAAAAGCAAAACCAACTGATAAGGTTCTAATTACAAGCAAAGAAAATAATAATGAGCACAATTAAATAAATATAAGAGAAGGAAGGATGGATTTAAGAAGAGGTAACTTTCTGTATTTCAATTATATTGATCAAATGATAAAATTAAGCTACAAAAGTTATGTATATACATTACAGCACCTGAGAAACCACATATGTAGAAAAAAAATTCACATATCAAAACTAGGTTCTAAAATTCATTCAACACACATTATTTTTAAAAGTAAGGAAAAGAATTAAAACAATTGAATGAACAGAAGGCAAGAACTATAAATAGGTATTTAAGCTTTCACTTATCAATGATTGCACTGTGTAAATGATCCAAGTGTACAAATTAAAATTTTGAGTAGATTAAAATTTATGACCCAACTATTTAATATAAACAACAAAAAAATGATAGAAACGACGTAAAAGCCAATCTATGGGGGAAAATATAGAATGCAAATGTTGAAAAGAGCTTGATGGGCTGTTGTGGTACATGACTTTAACTCCAAGACTTGAGAGGTGGAGACCAGCTTAGTATACAGAGCAAATTCAAGTCAGCCAGAGCTACCCGGAGAAACCTGGCCTAAAAAAACAAAACAAAACACAGACACACACACACACACACACACACACACACACACACAGAAAGAGAAGAGCTCAGATGTTAATATTATGTTAGGTAAAGTAGAATTCAAAGCTAAGTTATCATTCGAGAAAGAAAATGCTATTACATGACAAACAAGCCTGTTTACCCTGAACAAGTATTACTAAATAGAACTCAACATGAGATAGCATCAAACACAAAGAGAACTAGAAGGAATATATATACATACATATACACACATATACATACATACTATACATACATACATATATGTATGTATTCTGATGTGTGACAGTGTTTTCTAGGTCAGGGAAGTTGTATCCGTCAATCTCCACAATACAATTGCCTAAGCAAACCCTGCACAATGACAATCCAGTTGACATAGCAATGGGGATAGGGGAAATCTCCCTAGAGGATGAGCTGCAGGAAACGAATGGCTGCTAAAAGAGGGATGCTCCAGGGATGAGCCTCTTGACAGGTTATCCAATCTCAAGCAGTCTGCCCCAAAAGATATGCACATGAGCAACAAGAGATGCACTCAGCTGCTTTTATTTGTGTGTGTGCATTTGTGTGTACATGCATGTCTGTCTGAATGATAATTTAAAAAGTAAGAGGCCAAAAATTTGAAAGGAAGTGCAGGGAGATGTAGGAGCAATTAAAGAGAAGAGAGAAAAATTCAAGGATAACTTTTTTTAAAATACCCCTCATAAAAGTCAAGGTGTGTTAAGGAAAACAGATGTTGTTGAATTAATGAGGACTTTAATCCACTACAATTCTAAGTGATCCACAAGGAACCTCTAAGACACTAACATTGCAGTATCATTTAAAGTGTCTGCTTAATATAATCAATCAGTAAACATACAATGTCTTAGCCGCATAACTCAACAGTATCTAGGCTTCCATTGCACTTCTTGGAAATTTTTAAAGAAAATCTTTAGTAGCCTGCATAGATTTCAAATCGTCCACACAGCCAGGAAGGTAGCATTCTCTGACTGTCTGTGCTTGATTTTCCCAAGGAAATTATTGTCAGTGCCTCTTTCTCAGCTGGTTCTTTTTCCATACAAAGTGAGCTAATAGGACAATGATAATTGCTTTATTTCATTTTTAATTTTTTTTAAAGTAGGACCTTGTGTAGCAAAGGTTGGCCTCAGAGTTGTTATGTGATGGAGGATGACTCAAAATTTGGACCTGCCTGCTTTCACCTCCCAAATGCTGAGACTAAAGGTGTGCGGCTCCATTCCAGTTGTGGGTTGAGTATGAAATATTCTCTATAAGCTCAAGTGTGAACACTTAGGATCTAGAAAGGGGTCCTGCTTGGCACAGTTTTGGAATCTTAAGGATGTGGTACCTTGCTACAGGCTAGACACTGGTAGAGGGCCTGAGACTTTTATATCCTGATCACAATTCCTGTCCCCTCTGTGTTTCAAGTGCTAAAGAGATGCTGTCACCAGCCTGCCTCCTACTTCTACTGCCTTGTTTCCTCTGCGATGATGAACTATATCCTCTCACACTATGAACCAGAATGAAACCTCCCTAGTTGAAATTGCTTCTTGTCAGGCCACAGTTAGAATATGTACTAAAACACCCATTATAATGGGGAGCTTGGGATGAAAAATAGGGGTGTATGCATGCTGGGAAGCGCTCTACCAATTGAAGTACACAGGTGAGCTTGGCTGATGAAAATTCTAACTACATAAGATAAACACAGTATGAAGAGGGGCAGAGACAGAGTACCAAAGCCAGGCTTACCCAAGTCCACAAACCATAGGGTAACAGAGACAGTGAACTCACCACAGTGTAGATCTGATGCTTGCGTCTTTTAGCCAAGTCAATTATGTTTACTCCGTTGTAGTAAAGGTTTTCAATACAGCCATGGAAGTTTTTCTTTAGAAAGGTTCCAGGTTTGCTTGGCACTGGAATTCCTCCAAAACTGAGCTTCATGGTGGAAAAAAAATCAAAATCAACTCTTAGTTATATGCTCTGAAGAAGTAGGGATATAAGAGAAGTAAATGCATTCTCTAGGTTTAATTGTATGTGTTAGGCAAGAGGCTTTAGTAATTACAGATGCCACTTGATTACTCATTTAAAAGGATACTGATTAGCCTATATAAAAATAGCTGTAATTGCTTACCTCTTACGGGCTTACTTTACAAAACCATGTTCATTTCTTTCTTACAACTTTTTAATACAAATAAAACAGTAATTTGCAAGGAAAAAATAAGAGAAAGTATGAAATCAACACCTTTATGTTTATCTGGAGCAATAGAGAGGACACAGATATAAAAAGGCTAAGGAAACAGACACTTGGTCCAGCAATACCTAATTCAAAAACTTACACTACCAAAGATCTTTTATGCACAGCATTTTCCCCCAACTGTTATCTATAAAGATGAAAGGTTGAAATGATGACAAATATCCTATGGACCTGAGAAGCAATTAATATCATTATTCTGGAATTGTTAACATGACAATCATTAAATATTTACAGTAAAATGGGAAATGAATGCAATTTTGATTGCAAAATACAGTAATTACTACCCTCTGTGAAGTGCAATTTCATCCATGAGGAAGTTGTGCACACCAGGGCCACACTCAATGGGTAAAAGCACTAGCCACACAGGCTCATTGGCCCAAGTTTGATTCCTACAACTCCTGTTAAAAAATAACTCAAAGTAAAAACCAAAAAAAAAAAAAAAAAAACCAGCAACAAAAAAGCAAGCCAGTTGAAGTAGCCTGCTCCAGCACTACTATGAATAGACAGTAGGGCAGGACAGGAGAATGATCCAGAAACTCATCAGCCAGCTAGTCTGGAGTTAGCACTGTGGCAACTAAAGCAAGAAAGACTCTGTCACAAGGTGAAAAATGAACAACAACTTAAAGTTGTTCTCTTACCTTCACAGCCACAACATAGCATATCTACACATGTATACATGAAAGACACACACACACACACACACACAAACCTACAAAGTTTAGGCACAGAACTACATTTTAATGGTAGACGCCTAGAATAATTACAGATGTTAGTTTTTTTTACTATGTATATATTCAGTAATTTTTATTTTATTATTATTTTTCAACTATTTTTCTTATTTTACATATTGATCCCAGTTTCCTCTCCCTCCCATGCCCCCCAGAACCCTCACCCGTCCCATCCCCCATCCCCTCTCCGGGGAAGGTGAGGTCTTCCAGGAGGGAATCATCAAAATCTGTCAAGTCATTTGGGGTAGGGCCTAGGCTAAGGGAGTATCCCTCCATGGGGAGTGTGCTCCCAAAGTCCTTTCCTGCACCAGGGATTATGTTCGGTAAATTAAAACAAATAATTTATAGTAGATATAGTGAATAACAAAATAACCTTTGGGAATAGTGTTCCTACTGTACAAGACAAGAGGATCATACCTAGCCTCTCAGTTGCAACGCACCACTAGCCAGGAGACAGTTCCTCTCCATTGCTTTGAAAAGCCACACTCTCCACCCTTGCATCTCCCTCCTCTCTCTCATCCATCTCCTTCATCCCTGTGCCCTCTTCCCTCTATTTCTTCTGCCTCTCTATTGCTTCCCCCATCTTCCCTCCTCTTTCTTGCATGGACAATGTTAGGGGAGGACACGTTCTTCCAACCATAGCATCTTCTCTAGTTTCTCCCATCTTTAGTCATATACTGATATACTAATATTATATTGGGCCCAGACATTTATTTTAAGTTACAAAGGATCTTAAATGTTTCTTAATGTGTTGGTGCTATCTCACATTTATTACTTTTCCTTCTGCTTTAGTCTAAACATAATTATGAGGCTTTTGTTCTGGTTTAAACTTGAAACTCTAACCACTATTTGCATATGTTTTTAGGTAATTTCTTTGAATTTGAAATGTACAGTCATAAGATATGCACAAAACACTTCAATCTTCAACTTTGTTTTCTGTATTTTTATTTTACTTTGTTTTTCTAGTCAAAATATTCTAAGACCTAACAAAAGCATTTTAAAATTTTTTAAACAATCATAATATAGAACTTTTTGGAAACAAAACATGTGAACAACTTTCTGTTTTCTAATTACACAAAGCAGTGATTCTGACTTCTTCATTGAAATTTTTCCCCTTATTTCATATATTGGTTATTTATATTTTCTACTTTATTGACATATTATAAATAATAAGGAAATAATTTTATTCTTTGTCTTTTCAAAGATAAATACCATAATATGTAAGAAGTACATGGTTTATTCTACCAGTAAGTAGAATTACAGTCCAGAGTCCTAAGTTCACAGATTCACTGGGAAATTATTGAACCATTCTATATTTCATTTGCCTTAAAATGAACATAGACACATATAAGTAGCAAATAAATTTAAGGTTTAATATCTCTTTGAAGTCTAAATTTTTCTAACAGGAATTAAAGAATTTGTTGATTTTATAAAAATAGTTTGTAAATCTTGAAAAAATTTTAAAAATCTATGAAAAATGTTGATAACTTATTTACAAAGACACTGCTGATTTACTGCATCATCCAAGTACTTTTACTATGAGCAGTTTCAAAGAGTACTTTCTTCATTTGTGATTATTTGCAAGAATTAAAGTGTCAATGTAAAAGTATTATGAGGTACTTCTATTTTTATAAGTTTCATCAGACGATGGTAAGTTTATTCCCCTCATTTTTATGCTAAGCATCTTTAATTTAGAAACTCCATAATCCTCTGCTTCCCACATAGAGAATATTGGCTACAGAATAGTTCTTGAAAAGGCTGAAGAAGAATAAAAGAGCATTGTCTTTTCAATACCAAGACTTCTGCCCAAACATTCAGGGTAGAAAGAGTATAGACGGAAACTATGCAGAATACTGAGTAGAGCAACCCGCAATGTTGTGTGGAAGATTTGGAAAGAGATTCGTTGGGGATGGGAATAAAGCCATGGGGAGTTTGGGGGCTTCCTCTCTGATCGTATGTGGGGGGTTCCTAAGGAGGAAGCGGGCCCTTGTGATGGCTAATATTGATAGTCAACTGAACAGAATGAAGAATCCCTGAAGAGAAAATCTTTGGGCATTTCTGAGAGATGGTTTCTAGGCTGGTTTAATTAATGTAGTTTTGTTCCATCCTGGGGGCTTGGCCTGAAGAAAAAGGGAGAAGGGATGTCGTACATAGCACTTGTCTCTCTCTGCTTCTTGGCTATGGATACACCATGGAAAGCCATCTCAATTCTTGTTGCCATGATGGACTATGTCCACAAACTGTGAGCCAAAATATACCCATCCTTTGTTGTTGTTGTTGTTTTATATATATTTATTATTTTTTCTTATTTTACATATTGATCCCAGTTCCTTCTTCCTCCTCCCATTTCCCCGGATCTCCCTCTATCACAAAAAGAGGGACATGGTATGTCCTCACTCATATATGGATTTTAGACAGAGAGCAAAGGATTGCCAGCCTATAATTCACAGCGCCAGAGAAAGTAGGATACAAGGAGGAACCTAAGATATTCATACAAGGTCCTTCATAGAAGGGGAAAGAAACCCATCCTTCTTTAAGTTGCTTCTGTCTGGGTAGTCTGAGCTACCGATATATAAAGTAGCTAAGAAAGCACTTACACCCTGGTTTGTAAATCCATTATGCTGCAACCCTGTTAGAGTTGCCTAGGACTCAGAATAACCCCTGAGCCAAACCGCTAGGTGAATGATGGGCAATGTGGAAGGCCTGAGAACTTTTCGGTTGGGACTTAGGCATTCGTGTACGGCTGCCAGAGGCACAAGAACAGGAAGACAGGATTAATGTGCTGAGGCTCTCAGAACATGCACGGATGGGGGAGGGGAACTGGATTGGGAGGTTGGGAGAACCCGTGAGACACATCTCACTGGCTACAAAACAAGCATCACATACAGAAGCATCAAGAAATTGTCAGATGATTTTCAGAGACCCCAAAACAGCTGAAGTTACTGGGTGACGTTTGCAGACGGAACAAGTAAATCGCATGGCTGTAGTGATGATGCAAGAAGTCATGACTGCCACCTGATTGGTTAACAGCCCATAGAAGAGAGATGAGGGACTCTATGATGCAGATAGCTTTAAGCATTGACTAGTTACTAGTCGGTGTCTTAGGTAGCGGCAGCTGTCAAGTTGACACTGACCAGCATCATTCATGGGAGTTTGAACTGAGGGACTGCTCACATCAGATTGGCCTTGGCCGGTTGCTATGTTTAAGAAAGATTATCTTGGTTGCCTATTTGAGTGGGAGGGCCCACTGTTGGCAGTACCAGGCTTCAGCAGGTAGGTCTTGGCTATATCAGAAAGCTAGCTGAGTGGAGGTCAGAGAGAGCCAGGGTTCTGTTCAAGGTTCAGATTGAGATCCTTCCCTGAGTCCCCTCAATGATGGATTGTGACCTGGAAGTGTAAGCCAAATGTGACCTTCCTGACTCCAGTTGCTTTGCCAAAGTGTTTTATCACAGCAGCGGAATGAATGTAGGACAGTCACCACAGTTACAGTTATCCGTCAACAATTGTGACTCGTCATGTCTCTCCCCACCATACCCCAGTGCTCATGGGGAACAGACTGAATCCAGCTAAAAAGAGACAATCAAAATTGTATTGAGGTATACTTGACCACGAATATACATTCCATACTGAACATATACTTTTGGCTTTTTATATTAGCAGGGAAAAAATTAAATTTATTTAGGAAAAATATGAAAAAAAAAACCTCCTGAGAATGGAGAGGTTTCCAGTGGACATATATCCTCCACTTTTTAATTATTCCATAGAGAATCTGACATTATAATGGTACTACGAATTGGAAAGTTAGTTCATTTTCTCATAGTCGGGATGGAAAACTGCTTCATATACTAACAATGTTCCTTCATACACAGTATTGATTTCTCGAAATATTTCCCAAGACCATATATGCTGACTTAATAAAGAACTCCGAATTCTGCATTAGTAATCACAGCCTC